TTTTAAATTTTAAATTAAATTTTCATTAAATGATACCATGTATTTAAGGTAGAGAGTCTTGAGACACTTTTTTTTTTTAGAGGATTAGGATTAATACACATTATCCTCTTAAAATTTAAATACAAATATTACAGTAAGATTTGAAGAATAATAAAATTAATTATACAATGAGTCGTGGGCTTTTCCATCTCCTACCGCCACAACAAAATAGATGATATTGAAGAGCTGGACATTATGCATGGTTGAAGATGTCAAGAATCAAGAGAAAGAAGAATGCACCGCATATTAACATATAACAAATCTAACATAAACTAATTAATTAAAACAATAACGCTGGACATCAAAAGATCTTTAAAGCAAAATTGGAACCTCAGTACAAGATGATCGAGGTGATTAAATTCCAAACCTTCCAATGGATTAAAGCTTAACAGTGGCAAAAAATCTCAATGGAGCTATGGTATAAATCTTCCTGCTCACGCTTGCGAAACAGCATAAAAAAAGATGCCTTAACGGCCCAGTGAAGTTCACACGGGGATGAAAACAGTTGTAGGATAAGGAAGGTCACGCCATCACTGGATGATTAATATTTTGGGGTAAACTTTTTTATGAATGTGTTGATTGTATAACCCTCCTCTTATAATATGCTCTTTTTGTACGGATAAAAATAACCCTTGAACTCTAACCTAATAATAATATCTTTTGCTGATCAAAAAGTAAAAACAATAGCCCTGGAGTTATAATAACAAGGATATTTAACCCCAAAAAAAAAAAAAAAATCCTAAAAAGCTTAATTCAAATATTAGAGTATGCAGCACATAGTAAAGAATTAGGAGGAACTAATTATAATAAAATAAGCAACACTTTTAACGCTGTAAGAACTAGAGATCGCATGCTTAAACTACCTGACCTGTAACGGTTAAACTACTTCATCTTTTATGAAACAAGAAGAGTTTCATCCTCATTACCGGCTCAAGTTCTTTCAGTATCTGGCTACTCTTTTCATCTTTCATTGGTCTTCAAGATTGATATTAGCAGAGGCAGGATCACTCATATCTGGGTTGGTAGACGGTGGATAATATGGAATTTCATTCTGGTCAGGATTGAAATCAGACATAAGCATGCTAGGATCAATGACCTGAGGTATGCCAACATTGTGCCACTCAAGTAAACCTCCTGAACCATTTGAACTCTGAGCAGGTTGAAGAACTTGGCCACTTCTGATCCCAGAGATCTCCCCATAGCAAGCACCACCAATGTGGTGGATGAGAGGTTTCCCTCTAATGTGTTGATTAACAAATGGCTCTATTGACTCTACCTATTCTGAGGAATGCTCTGGTAATCAAGGTATCCATAGCCAGAAAAGCTAGGCCCTTCACCACCTTGATGAGAATAATCGGCTGCCAAATCATTGTTCGCCAAAAAACTAGATGGATTCATCACTTTTCTGTTGTTTCCACTCTCCAAAATTGTTCATCTCTTGTAAATCGTCAGCATAATTCTGACCAGGTTGAAAAACTTGGTCATTTCTGACCCCAGAGCTCTCCCCGAAGGGGGCACCACCATGGTGGTGGAATACTGGGTTCGCTCTGTATTAATTTGGAACCTGAGTCTTAAAAAGGGGATAGTCTTTGCTCGTAAAGGGATGCCTTCTCAGTTCCTTCAAGCATGTGTCACACTGTAGAAGCCTATCAAGGTATTTGAAAAGAGAGGAGGACATAACAAATAGGTATAACATAACTAAAAAATTTTCATATGTAAAAATAAAAAATGCATTCTAAAGCAAGAGATAGAAAAATCTGCAAGTTAAGGCCAATCCCCCAGTAAAATAAACTGCAGTCTTCCACTAATAGCAAACTTGATTTTTGCTCATTCCATAGAGGACCCTATCAATGGTAGCTTCAGATTTGAAGATAATCTTAGAAAAGAAGCCTGGTCCTCTGGCTGCTTCACTTCCTGCATATGGAAGGACTCAATGCAATCCCCATCACTCCTGATGAAAATTCCCACACTTCCAATTCGGTCACCGGGTACCCCTTGTAGAAGGTCACAGACATTGTCCTGTCTTCCGAAGGCTCCCCAGGAGGTACTGCACAAGTTTCTGGGGTACCCCAAATCTGTTGCTGTTTCTGTTCAGGCTGCCCAGCACCATCTAGGCAAGAAAAACATACAAAGGATTTGGCATCATATTCTGGCTATCAGCCGTGCTCTGCACAACATTCCTTCTTACAGATAGAGCCTCTTGCATTAAGTCTGATCATGCCCTGATACAGAACTCAGTCTTGAGACTTCTCTAACCCAAAACTTCATGAAAAAAAGACATATCCATCTCGTTTTTTCATGAAGTTTTGGATTAGAAAAATCTCATTTGCTTTGGATGAAGAATAAGTTGCAGCATGCTGGTTGTTGTTATTACTGCTGATAATGTTCAGAGAGGTGACAGCCTTGTCAGCTAACTTCTTCATCCTTTTCAAGTCAAAACTAGCCACTTTCTTTACCAAGCTTTTACTGCAACAGGAGTCATTTAGATATGAAAATTTGCAGGTGAATCACCATGCTTTAACATAAAATGTTCACTTCTAACTATTTCTTTGAAATCTGAGTATCTGACAAATGAACTATACAGTTCAAGACCTTAGACAAGAAAAGAATGAAATCTAACTTCTGAAACCAATGAAATAAAGACAATTTTCTCTAACTAGTTATTTTCCAGATCATTGAGAAAAAGCCATACCTTTTGGCCTTATCAACTGAGTCTTCTAGCAAA